GGCTGCTCCAGCAGAGTGCTCAGTCCTCCTGGAAACCTGAGCCTGGCCAAGCCAGGAAATTATTTGCTGGCTCTGAGGGTGGGAAGTGGCTTCTGGGCTGGTTTTTGTGCCACGTGTTCTCTCCCCACTTCTCCTTCAGGAGTTGGGACACGTTCTCCAGCGTGGATTGAGAGGAGAAGTGGCCTGAAATTCATGGTACAGAGGATTGAAATCCCTCTTGGGATGATGTTGGTGATCCCTGTCCCCCAGGTTGGGTGTTGGGATGGAGTGAAGATGGGCAGGAATGGGAGGTGCTTGAAACTGAGGGAAGCTGGGGGAAAAAAAACCCCAAACAAGCAGATTTTGTGGCCACATCCTCCCTGCAGGGGGAAGGAGAAGGAGCAAAGGAGCCTGAAAGGAGCCCTGGGGAGCTCTCCCTGCACTTGGCCTGGCTCTGCACCAGCCCTGCTCCCTTCCCCCAGCCACCAGACCCCTGGGCTCCTGCCAGCTTCTCTCCCCAGGCTCTTTGGCAAGGCTGGTGTGACTCTCACGTGCCACGGGAGGGTGACAGGGCCAGGCTGGGGTCCCCTGTGCCCACAAACCCTCCACACACACATGGCAGAGGTGGCACCGGGTGGCAGAGGGGACAGCGAGTCCCCAGCACCTCCTGTGACTGCTCTGGGGGTGTCAGCGCTGCAGCTGGGAGCCTGTCACCTATAATCCCTCTGGAATTGGCTTCCCTGATTTGGTTTTTCTCCCCCTCCCCTGTTTCGGGGGGGTTGGCCCTGCAGACAGCAGCAGGCTGCTGGGGAACCCGCGGCCGGGCTACGGGACGTTGCAGCCAGAGCCTGAGAGATCCCACATGGTGAGTCCCAGGGCTTGGGATCCAGGGGAGTGTGGGGTGGGGAGGGTTGGGACCAGAGCCACCTATTGTTGTAGAGTCATGGAATGGGTTGGGTTGGAGGGACTTTAAAGATCATCTGTCATGGGCAGGGAGACCTCCCACCAGCCCAGGCTGCTCCAAGCCCCATCCAACCTGCCCTTCAACACTGCCAGGGATGGGGCAGCCACAGCTTCCCTGGGCAACCTGGGCCAGGCTCTCACCACCCTCACAGCAAAGAATTCCCTCCTCATGTCCAACCTAAATCTCCCCTCTTCCAGTTTTAATCCATCCCCCTCATCCCATCCTTCCCTGCCCTTGTCCCAAGTCCCTCCCCAGCTTTCCTGGAGCCCCTTCAGGCACTGGAAGGTGCTCTCAGGTCTCCCTGGAGCCTTCTCTTCTCCAGGCTGAACACCCCAACTCTCTCAGCCTGGCTCCAGAGCAGAGCTGCTCCAGCCCTTGGATCATCTCTGTGGCCTCCTCTGGACTCTCTCCAACAGCTCCATGTCCTTCTTGTGCTGGGGCCCCCAGCTCTGTCCCCAGCCCTGCAGGGGGGTCTCAGCAGAGCAGAGCAGAGGGGACAATCCCCTCCCTGGCCTTGTGACACTGCCACAGGACAGTGGTTTTCCAGCCCCAAAGCTACTTGGTTGTCACCTGCCTGCTGGGAGGTGACTCCAGGAGACTCAGGACTGTTCTCAGTGCAGGATCTAGATGCTTGATAATGATAATTTGGGTTTATTTTCTGGAATGAGCATCCCCATAAAGGTGACCTCCTTTCTTCCAGGAGGTGACAGGCTACCAGACCAAGCCCTGGCGGGTGGCCCTGTGCCACACGTGCTCCGTGCTGACAGCTGGGCTGCTCCTCATCCTCTTCCACTGGAAGCCAAGCCTGGAGGTGCAGGTGAAGTGCAAACCCTGCGCCCTCGGCCAGGCCGACTGGGTCATCATCAGGGTGAGTCCCCAGGGGGGTCCAGGGGACCTTGGCATTGGGATCTGCCTCCAGCTTTCCAGGAGGACCATGGGCATGTTCCCTGCTGCTTGTCACCTTCCTGTCCCTGACATCTCCTTGACATCCAGCAATGCCCTGCCCCAGAGCCACATTCTTCTGGGAATAATTCTTATTTATTATATTATTATTTTTTATTTGTATAATACTATGATTACTACATGAGCTGCCCGTGCAGGGGGGTTGGAACTAGATGATCCTTGAGGTCCCCTCCAACTCAAATCATTCTCTGAAGATCCTGAGTTATTCATTCATTCCCCATGCACAGCAGCCAGCCTGGCCTTGGGTTTCTCTTCATGGTCACTGCATCCCAACCATCAGCTGGGATGGGTGGCTGGGGATGCCCTGCCTGCCACCCTGTCCCTGTTTTGCAGGAGTAGGGTTGGGTGGACGTGGAGGGAGGGTCCTCACTGCCCTCTGCCCAGCCCTGCCTGCCTTGCAGGACCGATTTGGCCAGAGCTTCACCGCCCGCGTGCGCACGGAGCCGCTGGGGGAGGGCAGGTGAGCTGGGCTGGTCTGTCCCCCCTGCCACTGGGCAAGGCTTGGCCAAGGGCTGACCCTTGTTTTCCACCCTGAGCAGCCTGGAGCATCACCCAGGGGCCAGGCTGGAGGACAGGAGGACCAGCATTGCCATCGGTGTGGCGGATGAGGAGGAGAGCAGGGACACCATCCGGCTCCATGAGAAGGAAGAGGTAACAGTGGCCACCTTTCCCACAGCCTTTCCCTGGCCACAGGTGGTCAAGAAGGCCACCAGCCATCCTAGCTTGTGTGGCCAGCAGGGCCAGGGCAGGGATCTTCCCCCTGTGCTGGACATAGGGGAGGGGACACCTCAAATCCTGGGGTCAGTTCTGGGCCCCTCAGGACAAGAAGGACATGGAGGGGCTGGAGCGTGTCCAGGGAAGGGCAAGGGAGCTGGGGAAGGGGCTGGAGCACAAGTGTGAGCAGGAGCAGCTGAGGGAGCTGGGGGTGTCCAGCCTGGAGACAAGGAGCTGAGGGGAGACCTGCTGGCTCTGCAGCTGCTGAGAGGAGGTTGGAGCCAGGGGGGTCGGGCTCTGCTCCCCAGGAACAAGGGATGGGACAAGAGGAAATGGCCTCAAGTTGCCCAGGGGACACTGAGGTTGGATCTTGGGAACAATTCCTTCCTGGCAAGGGTTGTCAAGGCCTGGCCCAGGCTGGCCAGGGGCGGGGGGGGATCCCCATCCCTGGAGGGGTTTGCACGCCCTGGAGATGGTGCTGAGGGACACGGGGCAGCACCAGACTCGCTAGAATTGGGTTAATGGTCGGACTCGATGATCTCAAAGATCTTTTCCAACCAGAACCATTCCTGTCATTCTGAACAGTCCTCCCCCTTGGCATGGGCTGCCCTCGTGTCCCACTCACACCTTCTCTTCTCCCTTCCTCTCTGCTCAGAAGAACCTCCTGCGTTACTACCTCTTCGAGGGCACGCGCTACGTGTGGCTGGAGCGGCGCCAGGCCTTCTGCAGAGTCAGGTACCCCTGCCACCTGCTCGTTTCGCCCCATCAGCCCCCCAGAAAAATGGGCCTGACCCACCTAGAAGCCCCATCACCACGCTGGAGCTTCACTGCAAAGCCTTTGGAGACCATCCGTGGGGCGTTGGGTCGGGCACAGGCTCTGCCTCTGCCCCGGGTTGTTGGTGTTGCCCGTGTCTGTGGGCAGAAGGAGCCAGGAGGAGGGGTTTGGCAACTGCCCCGTGCTGGGTGCTCCTCCCTGTGCTGTGCCACTGGCCACTTGCCCAGCTCTGCCCCTTTTGTTCCTGCTCCCTGGCTGAGGAACACGATGCTCTCCCTTTCCCAAAGGGTGTTTTTTTCTTGTCACCAAGGACTTGGACGTGGTGTCTGTTCCATCAGGCCAAGCTCCTGCTGGTTTTGACTCCTTTTCTCCTCCCTTTTTCTTTCTCCTCGGGCTTGCCAGTGTGTTGGATGAAGGTTGGACCTGCTCAGATCTCCACCTCTCTCAGGCTGGGCTGGACCAGCAAGACCACAACATCAGGTAGGGATCTTTCCAGGAGTCAGCAAATCCTGGAGCTTGGGGTTTTTCTTCCATTCAGACCTCAAAACAGAGGCTGGGTTGCCCTGGCTTGTCTTCTCCACATAACTGGGTTCCTGTGGAGGTCTGGGCAGCATGAGAACCCCTTGGGTTGGACATGCAGCTTTTGCCCAGTGTGCATTTGCTTCCCCCTTGGTTTTTCCTCTCCCCTTTGCAGGAGGAAGATCTATGGGCCCAACCTCATCGAGGTGCCAGTCAAGTCCTACACCAGGCTCTTGGTGGAGGAGGTGAGCATCTACAGGCCCTGCTTCAGGAGAGCAAGTTGTCCCAGGCCAGATCCTTCCCCTGCTCCATATTCTGCAAGAGCTTTGTGGGCTCTTCCTTGCTGGTGGGGAGGAGAGGACTTCAGGAGAGTCAGCTTGGGTGAGAGTGGAGAGGACCTGTCCAGCCTCATTGCTCAGACAGGAGTATCTCCAGGGGGTTGCAGAGGTTATTGAGCCTCCTCAGAAGTCCTGACCATGGAGAGAAGCTGGCGAGCCTGGTGGGTTTGTAAGAAGTCAACTTGTTCATCCCCAGGGACGGGCCAGCTTCCCCTCTGCAGAAGCAGGTGTTCCTGAAGGAGCCTGGAGGCCTCACGTTGGGCTGAAGGAAGGTCTCCCTCCCACCCCAAAACTGCTCTCTCTCCTTGTTCCCTTCCAGGTGCTCAATCCCTTCTACATCTTCCAAGTGTTCAGCATTGTCCTGTGGGTCTGTGATGCCTATTACTACTACGCTGCCTGCATCTTCCTCATCTCCACCATCTCCTTGGGGCTGTCCCTCTATGAGACCAGGAAGGTTGGTGGTGGCTCCCTGGGGACCCCCAGCTCTAGTGAAATAACCTGTTTTCTGACACTCTTTGCCCCCTTTGCTGGTGCTGACCTCCTCCTGAGCCCAGCTGGGGGAGGACAACCCACCCCCCAGCTGTGGGCAGGTTTCCTAGTCCTTCATCCATGGTCCCCAGACTTGAAGACCCATTTATGGGAGCTTTGCTGGGCTTTCTTTGAGCTGTCCTGGGGTGTCTGCTAACATCTCCCTCCCCTGCAGCAAAGCACCACACTGCAGAACATGGCCAAGATGTCTGTTGGTGTCCGAGTCCATCGTCCCAGCGGAGGTGAGTGTGGTGCCCCTGGTGCCCCTGGTGAGCTCCAGAAGCAGGGATGGGAGAATCATAGAATGGTCAGGGTTCTCCTTGGGGCTGCTTTCTAGCAGGCCAACCCCTCATCCATATGGGTGGAGGGTGTTTTTCCTCCCCAGGTGGAGGACTCTCCACTCCTCCCTGTTGAGCCTCAAGAGGTTCCTCTTTGCCCAGCTCTCCAGCCTTTCCTCATATGACAGATGTTCCAGTCCCTTCATCATCCTTGTAGCCCCCATTGGACACTTTCCAGTAGATCCCAGTCCCTCTTGAGCTGGGGAGCCCAGAACTGGACACAACACTCCTTGTTGGTCTCATTAGGGCAGAGCAGAGGAGGAGCAGAACCTCCCTCGACCTGTTGCTTCTAGGCTGACATGTCTGAGCAGGTTTGGGTTTGGTTTTGGGTTGTTTCCTCCAGAGGAGATGGTGGTGAGCTCTGCTGACCTGGTGCCAGGTGACTGCATCAGCCTCCCCGCCGAGGGGCTGGTGGTGCCCTGCGACGCGGCGCTGCTGAGCGGGGAGTGCATGGTCAACGAGAGCATGTTGACAGGTGAGAGCCCTGGGCAAGCACCAGCCCTGCATCTCGGGCACCCTACAGGAGGCCATTCCCAGCCAGGCTGGTTGGGTCCTGACCCCTCCAGGGTGGTACAGACCCCTCCGTGATGTTCCTCACCGCAGGGGAGAGCGTGCCCGTGATGAAGACCCCGCTCCCGGCCGGCGGGCAGGGCGCTGGGAACATCTACTCCCCTGAGGAGCACAGGAGGCACACGCTGTTCTGTGGGACACAGGTCATCCAGGCCAGGGCCTACCTGGGCAGTGAGGTGCTGGCTGTGGTGACCCGCACAGGTGAGAGCACTGAGGTGGAAACCAGGGTTGGTCCGAGGGCTGGAGCAGCTCTGCTCTGGAGACAGGCTGGGAGAGTTGGGGTGTTCAGCCTGGAGAAGAGAAGGCTCCAGGGAGACCTTAGAGCAGCTTCCAGTGCCTGAAGGGGCTCCAGGAAAGCTGGGGAGGGGCTTGGGACAAGGGCAGGGAGGGATGGGATGAGGGGGATGGATGAAAACTGGGAGAGGGAGATTGAGGTTGGACATGAGAAGGGAATTCTTTGCTGTGAGGGTGGTGAGAGCCTGGCCCAGGTTGCCCAGGGAAGCTGTGGCTGCCCCATCCCTGGGGGTGTTGAAGGGCAGGTTGGATGGGGCTTGGAGAAGCCTGGGCTGGTGGGAGGGGTCCCTGCCCATGCAGGGGGGAGGGACTAGGTGATCTTTAAGGTCCCTCCAACCCAAACCACTCTTTGATTCCATCATTAAGCCACGTCCTTCCAAGCAGTGGCTTTGGACCTTCTGCCCCTCTCCCACAGGGTTTTGCACGGCCAAAGGGGATCTCATCAGCTCCATCCTCTACCCCAAACCCGTGAGCTTCAAGTTCTACAAGGATGCAGTGAAGTTTGTCCTGTTCCTCTCCATCCTGGGTACGTCTGGGTGTAGAGCTGCCCAACTCCTCTTTCATGGTTGCACCTTCATCTTGTTTGCTTTGTAACCAAGCCCGTTCTCCCCTGGCACAGCTCTGGTGGGCACACTGTACAGCATCCTCATCCTGGTGAGGAACCAGGTAAGGATGGTTGGATCTGGTGGCTCCTCAGCTGGAGCTGAGACCATCAGCCCATGTGGGTGGAGCTAGGTCAGGCCTCTCAAGGTGCCCACCCCTTCTATCCTCCTCACCTGCCAGGTCCCTGTGGGGCAAATCATCATCCGTGCCCTTGACCTTGTCACGGTCATCGTGCCACCAGCTCTCCCAGCTGCCATGACCGTGGGCACCATCTATGCCCAGAACAGGCTGAAGAAACAGGGCATCTTCTGCATCAGCCCTCCCCGCATCAACCTCTGCGGGAAGATCCGCCTGGTTTGCTTTGACAAGGTGAGTCTTGGGCAGCTCCTTGGGATGGGTGGTTCCCAGGCCTGACCTGCAGCCACCCACCTTCTCCTGGCAGACGGGAACGTTGACGGAAGAAGGTCTGGATGTCTGGGGGGTGGTCCCACTGGAGAACAACCACTTCATGCCCATTGTCCACGAGCCCCGCTGCCTGCCCGCTGGGCCCTTGCTCTACACCCTGGCCACCTGCCACACCGTGTCCCTGCTGAGGGCACAGCCCATTGGGGACCCTGTGGACCTCAAGATGGTGGAATCCACTGGCTGGGTAAGGCAAGGAGCAGGTAGAGTTCCATGTCCATAAAGAGAGAGGTGGATACATCTGGGTTTGCTTGGAGAAGAGGGTGCTTCAAACCATCCTTAGGGGGTGGATGGGGCTTGTGAGGCTGGACTTGGCCATCTCAGCTTCTGCTGTGGTTTCAGCGCCTGGAAATGATGGAGGAGGAGGAGGGGGAGGTGCCCACCTTGCAGCAGTTTGGGACCAAGGTCCTGGCTGTGATGAAACCTCCACCTGAGGAAGAACAGCCACGAGGCAGGGTAGGTCCAGAGGGGCTGAGGTTCCCCGAGTCACCAGGTCAACACCTCCAAAAGGGTTGTTGTCCTTCCCAGCTCCTGGAAGAGGTTGTACCTCCCAGAGAATTCCCTGCCCAGCCTTCTCACCCACTCCCTGTCCTCTGCAGAAGCACGAGTCACCCCTGGGGATCCTCCGGCGTTTCCCCTTCTCCTCCTCCCTGCAGAGGATGAGTGTCCTGGTGAAGGTGCCTGGTGAGGCCCCAGCCCACGTCTACACCAAGGGAGCCCCAGAGATGGTGGCCAGTCTCTGCAGGAGGGACACGGGTACGTGCTGGGGAACAGTGGGTTTTTACCCCTCCCCAGCTGAGAAGCAGCTGGTCCTGCTGCTCCAGCATCTCTGCACCCCTGCAGCTCATCCCAACGGGAAGTCATATCCAGTGATGCTGGGGGGTGGTTCCCAGAGGGTTTGGATGAGCTCCAGCCTCATGGGGAGGAAGGAAATCGGGAGTAGAGGACAGGGTTGGAGCCTGGATGGGCATCCAAAGCCCTTGAGTCCTGTGGGAGCTTGAGCTTCAGGTCTGTGGATCCTGGGGTGATCCAAGGAATGTTCTCACCTCCCTTTCCTCCTGGGGCTGGCAGTGCCCATGGACTTCTCCCAGATGCTGAGGCACTACACCACGGATGGCTTCCGGGTCCTGGCTCTGGCCTGCAAGCCCCTGAGCACGGTGACCACCTTCGAGGAGGCCCTGCAGCTCCAGAGGTTGGTGCCACCAACTTCTCTCCCTCCAAGCCACTTCATCAGACGTTTTGGGGCCCCCTCCTCGCAGCCCGTGAGGAGCTCAGCCCCAGCCCCCGGGGTCAGGCAGCCCAGGTGGATTTTTAGCTGTTTGTAGCAGTGGATCCACCCTGTCCTCGTGCCAGGGGTGGTGTGGAACAGGTTGTGTCCCACCAGGGACTCCGTGGAGAGCAGCCTGACCTTCCTGGGCTTCCTGGTCATGAAGAACGTCCTCAAGCCCGAGTCTGCGCCCGTGATTCACCTCCTGAGGAAGGCAAACGTGCGGCCCGTCATGGTGACAGGTGACCCTGCCGCGGGGACCGGGGGCAGGGGGGACACGACTGACCCTCTGTGGGGTGCAGAGGGGGGAGGGTTTCCCCACCAGCACTGGGGGGCCTGAAGCAGCAGGGAGGCACAGTGAGGAGGCTGGTTTGGGCACCCCTGCCTTGCTGGCGGGGCCCG